GAGAGAGAGAGAGAGAGAGAGAGAGAGAGAGAGAGAGAGAGAGAGAGAGAGAGAGAGAAGTGATAGAAGATTGTTCTGTGGTCCAAGAAAGAAGGTGGCGGCCATAGCCGCTGAGCTCGGACGAGGAGTAAACAAAGGAGAAAGAACACCTGGTGAAGAAGAAGGGAGAGGCGAAGGAGGAGAGAGAAGCCATAGCCGAGGAAGAGGAAGGAGGGACGATGAAGGAGAAGGAAGCCATAGTCGGGGTGAAGGAAGAAATAAGGAAGGAGGGAGAAGAACAGTATCGAAGGTTGGTTCTCGCACCACATGTGGTGCCAACCTACCCTATGGGCTGGGAAAGGATCCGGGTTGGTTGGTGTCCCCCCATACTATATATAGAATAGTGAGAGGATGAGATAGATGCGTACTATCAAGAAAAATGAGATAGATGAGAGAAGAATATAGCTTACCTTTAAAAAAAGAAAGGAAGGGGTCGACAACCATAGCCAGTTGAGCGTTGACCAAGGTGTTGACCGAGAAGTCAACTGGAGTTGACCGAGGAATTGACTGGGGAGTTGACCGATGTTGACCAAAGTGTTGACTGAGGGGTTGACCGGCGTTGACCGAAGCTGTTGACCACGAAATTGCCCAAGCTGGAGTCGGTATATTCTCGCCAAGCCTACAGCCTATCCCCTTGCCCTATGGATGTGCACGCACCCCATGGTGCTTGCTGAGTTTGTCTGTCTCTTCTTTTTGCATTGAGTCTCTTCTGTCCAGGTGATAGGAACTATGTGTATGAGGTCGTAGAGCTTGGTTGACCAAACCCGCACGGGCTGAGTAGGGCTAAAGGTCGTGTTTGACGACTGACTGACCCGAAGCATAAACCCTCCCAAGGACCGGTACAGACCGGCAGGCTGCTCAGTGTGGCATGGTCGACCCAAAATCCGAGTTGTGGGCTGCACAACAAGCTGTCTCTGCTTGAGAGGACTTGCTGATCGCGTCCTCCTGTCTGCGACGTTAAATATTTCTTGGGGAATTACGGGGGATCTCCTTAAATGCCTCCTGATCAGCATTGAAGTCCTGTAGTGACAGCTTTAGCATGAGGTCCAAGGTAGAGACCATAGCTGACAGGGTCCTATACGGATCCTGTAGTCCTTAGACAGTCGGTCAGTCAGACAAGTGGGTAGGCCTAAGTGGAGAGTAGTGGGACAGTCACTGTCGTGCACCCAACACCATGGACTACCTACGTACGGCTTGCTCGTGCGGTTCTCCCTCTGGGGGGCCCTCTGGCCCCTTTTTCCGCTAGGCTTTTGGAATGCCTTCACGTGTAGAGTTGACATGAGGGGTGGTGCTAGTACCACTTCGTACACGAAGGAGTAGGAGGAAGAGGCGGCCAGGATTCTGGCTGAACAGAAGGCCAAGAAAGAGAAGAGGGAACTAGTGAAGGAGGCCAAGAAAGTTGGCCTCGTTGGAGGAGCAAGCCACAAAGAAAAAGAAGTTGGAGGAAGAGTTGGAAAGGTTGAAGGAGGAGGAAGAAAAGTTGAAAGCAGTGGAGGCAGAAAGAAGAAGAAGAAGAGAAAAAGGCAGAAGAAATTCCCCTGATCAGAAAAATCATAAGAGAGAGAGGGGAGTCCAGTGGAACGAAGGAGGAGGACCCGTGGTTGGAAAAGAAGGTGTCTGAGTGGGTCGCTAATCTATCCCTGGGAGAGGACGAGGAGGCAATGATGTTTGTACCAAGGGCAGAACAGAAGGCGGTAGTAAAAGAGTGGGAAGCAGAAGAGGACCCCTTAAAACTCCAGAATACAGACGAAGAGAAGTTGGAGTGGAAGTTGCGCTTGACAAAGGAGAAGAAGAAGAGAATGGAAGAGGCAAGGCTGCGAAAGAATTGGAGGTGGTGAAGCAACAAAGGGCGCAGATGGAAGCGCAGGCAAACTTGGAGGGGAAGATGGATGCGATGGCCAAGAACATAGAACTCCCAGCTAGGGCCCAAGAAGACCAATATCAATTTGCATGGGGCAAGGATGTAGCTCTGCAGTTCATACGCGTAGGGTTCAGGGAGTTTGCAAGAGAAATGATGATGCACGTGGGCACAAAAGTAAAGGCCAGGATGGAGAGCACATAGTGATTCTGCACTAGTGCCATAGAGGACGCCAAGCTTGTAGCTCCAAGGGAGGAGGAAGCACATCCTCGTAGAGATCCAATCAAAGTCAAGTCCCCTAATCCCTACAGTGGGAAGAAGGGAGAGAACTTTGAAAAATTGGGAGGTGCACATTAACTCTTATGTTCAGCTCCAGAAGATCGTACCTGAGGAGCAGGTTCTAATCGCCTTCCACGCTCTCAAGGACGAAGCAGCAAGCTTCGCTAAATCGCTTGCCCGCGCTGCTAAGTATGATAACAATATGGTAGCTTACTCAGCAATCACCCCCCTGAACGAATTCTTTAAGCTGTTGCGCGAGAGATTTGCTGATGTTACTAGGGGGATTAAAGCCTCTGACAAACTCCAAACTATCAACTCGCGCCAATGGAAGAGTGCCAGGGCACTCAAGGGAGTAATGGATGAATTGGTAGCTGTACCGGATTGAGATTTCTATCGTGCCATGCCCGCGCCGCTGTGTGGACACTTCTTCGAAAAGAGCAAGGAGTCAGCCATGACCTATGATACCTTGAGTACGAAAGTGGTAGCTTTTGAGATGCAGTCCATGCCAGTTTCCACTTTATGGCATAAGAACCTTGACAAGGGCAAAAAGTGGAAGGGACGTACCATCTCTGGCCAAAGTCAAGGCCAAGGATCACCTGGTCTTAACTCTAGATGAGGGTGGTATGGAAGAGGTCCCATATGATCAGATAGAATGGGGCCTGAAGGAGGATGACAATAGCGATAGTCAAGGGAGGACTTACACTGCTGTTGCGGCTGGAGGGAGGCCGCAAGGAAGAGGAGGGCAGGGCCAAGGGGGTCAGGCCTCCAGTGGTCGAGGACAGGGCGATCAGGGGGTTGGCGACAGAGGAAACCGCCAAGTGGGAGGCAGGGGTTAAGGTGCCCCACAAAACCGCTCTCGTTTCACTCGATCACCTCCCAAGAGGGGTGGATGGCACCCTGGCTTGCCACAAGGCAGGCCCTGGGAAGATTTGGGCCTAGAGCAGACAGTGTGGCAGCGAAGGATAAACCAGAATCAGTGTATTTATTGCGTTGATCCGGGGCATATTATTAATTACTGCCCTAAGTATAGAGAGGCCCGGTTTTCTGCACAGGCAGCAAAAGGCAACCGTCGATAGGAGTTCCAACTGCTCTTACCCCTAGACCATGTGGAGAAGAGTGCGCGCACCACAGAGAAACTCCCAACCCACATGTGTCTATGGCAGAGGCTGTCGGCCAGTGCCTAGATAGCTTTGTCCAGAGACAGCTTGTGTTAGAGTCTCTCTAGGCACTTCCCTCACAGGTGTGGCAAAAGAGTTGGAGGGCCAAGATGAAGAAAATGTGAAAGGACAGCTAGTTCTAGTACATGTAGAGGTCTTTAGAGGCAGAGTAGGGACCCTTATAGATGATAGTGGGGCCACCTGCAGCTATATTAGTAGAAAAGCATTGACAACTAGTTCTAGTAGATGTAGAGGTCTTTAGAGGCAGAGTAGGGGCCCTTATAGATAGTGGGGCCACCCGCAACTATATTAGTAGAAAAGCATTGCAGAAGCTGAAGTTGAATCTCAAAGTCCAAAAGGAACCCTATAGTTAGCATCCTCGCAGACAATCGCACTATGCGAGTCAAGGATTATGTAGAAGGAGTTCAAGCGTACTTTCGCCTAGAGAAGGATGGGAAGGTGGAGAAAGTTCACAATTCCCTGACTCTCCTCGTAGAGGACAGCCTTCCTTTCGACATGGTCCTAGGAATGGACTGGGGAGAGGCAGCAGGGGCCGCACTCCAAGAGAGCACATGTAGGCTCCCTAGTCCATCAGGCGAAGTCGAGATTGCTCGCATGTTTTATGTGTCAGGAGTAGACAACACCCTGGCACCTGCGTAGCACGGCGAATGTGTTCGCGCCCCTTCACGTTCGCGCGAACGTGTTCACGTGTTCGCGCGAACAGCTCGCGAACATGTTCGGGCGAACATAATTTTTTTCTGTAAAAAAAAAATTAAAAAAATGGTTTTTTATTTTTAACTCGTGATTGGCTACGAATTTGAACATGACTCCAAGGCAACACTTGCTTGTATTGTTATTTTACATAACATATATTTTTTCAGATTTTTCTGAGAACCTTTTTTTTTTTTTTTAATAATTTTTATGTTCGCGTTCTGAGGGTTTTTGACGCTTGTTCGTGTTCGAGTGAACATGTTTGTGTTCGCCTCCGAACGCGAACACGGTGCTACGTAGCCTGGCACATTGTTGTCTCAGTGCTCCCGCGTTCGCGCGATTAGTGAAGAAGGACCAACTAAAAGAACAGGTTTTCGTAGCCTATGTTAGGCCTGTCATTGAGCCTACAGAAGAGAAACCCCTTGATCTCGCTATTGCCAAGCTGCTGGAAAAGTATACAGATTTAGCTAAGCCGCCTACAGGAGTAGTGCAGCGGCCAATCCAGCATCGCATCGAGATAGAGCCTGGCAGTAGGACTCCTAAGGGAGCTATCTGCAGAATGTCCCCAAGGGAGTTAGAGGAGTTGCGCAAGCAGTTAGACGAGCTCCTCGAGAAGGGTTGGATTAGGCCCAGTTCATCTCCATTTGGAGCACCTGTTCTTTTCGTCCCCAAGGAGGAGGGAGATCTTAGAATGTGCATAGACTATAGGGGTCTCAATATCGTCATAGTGAAGAATGCAGAACCACTACCCCGTATAGATGATACGTTAGATCGGGTGCAGGGTTGCAAGTACTTCTCGAAGATGGATCTTAAGTCCGGCTATCATCAGATAGAAGTTCACCCTGATGATCAGTATAAGACGGCATTCGGGACTAGGTATGGGCACTATGAATTTATAGTGATTCCCTTTGGACTAACCAATGCGCCAACCACATTCCAGCGCTGTATGAATGATTTGTTTAGGCCGTGGTTAGATAGATTTGTAGTCTCGTACTTGGACGTTTTAGTAACACCCTGCATGAGCATGAAGGCCATCTGCGGCAGGTCTTGGAGAAACTAAGGGAAGCTTACTTCAAGATTGACGCAAAGAAGTGCGAGTGGGCCAAGAGGCAAGTTTTGTATTTGGGCCACGTCTTGAATGGAGATGGTATAAAGCCTGAGGATAGTAAGATAGCAGCGATCAGAGATTGGCCAACGCCCCGCACATTGACAGAGTTGCGGTCGTTCCTAAGCTTAGCCAACTACTATAGGAAGTTCGTGAGGAACTTTTCCACCATCGCTGCGCCCCTTCGCACGTTGCTAAAGAAAAAAGCAATCTTGAAGTGGGATAGAGATTGTACCTCGGCCCTGAAGAAGCTAAAGCGGGCCTTGATAGAGTACCCAGTCCTCAAGGTAGTCGATCCATCATTGCCCTTTATTGTCACTACTGACGCAAATCAGTATGGTATAGGTGTTTTACAGCAAGATGATGGCAATGGGTATAGACCCGTAGAGTTCACGTCTGCTAGGATGCCTTCAGAGAAGGTAGCGACATCTACTTACGAGAGGGAACACTATGCTCTCAGGCAAGCACAAGACCACTGGAAGCACTACTTGCTTGGGACACACTTCAAAGTGTATTCAGACTACGAGACGTTGAGGTGGCGGAAGACGCAGGCCAAGATGACACCTAAGCTTACTAGGTGGGCCGCCGAGATAGATCAGTTTGACTGTGAGCTCAAGCCAGTGAAAGGAAAGTATAACGTAGTAGTGGACGCACTAAGTAGGAGGGCTGACTACTTCGGAGAGAGAGTTCATTATCTGGATATAGGGAAAGACCAGCAACAAAAAGTTAAGGAAGCGTATGCATAGGACCCTATCAATAGCGATCTCCTCAAAAGAGTTAAGGAAGTTCCAGAAACTGAACTGGATTACCGCACTACAGACGGCTTACTCTTCGAGAAGACTAACGTAGTTAACCGATTATGCATCCCCAACAGTGAAGAGATCCGTAGTCTGATCTTAGGGGAATGTCACAATACAGAGGGACATTTTGGTTGGCAGAAGATGTTAGCCAACCTTATTCGCGCGTATACGTGGCCTGGCATTAAGGCCGACTGCATAGAGTATGTGCGCAGTTGCAAAGTGTGCCAACGGAATAAGACCACTACGCAAGCCCCTCTTGGTCTTCTCAGACCCTTGCCTATTTCCGACAGACCCAAAGACGCTGTATCCATTGACTTCATGGATGTTGGGGTTAAGAGTAGGCATGGCAAGAGCGAAGTCATGGTGATAGTTGATACATTTAGTATGCAACAAGCAGGTGCAGCCAGCGCAGCTTGCGCCCGCGAACATCATGAGGAAGCAGGCGCAATGAAGAATCGCACGTTTCTCTGTGTGCGGTTAATATTTAACATTGTTTGTCCTATCTTACATTTCTTTCACTGTTTTTTTTTTTTTTTTTTTTTTTTTTCCCGTTTCTAACGTTTGCACATCACGATCATCGTCGTTCTCGGATATCACCAACATCACCATCCCAACTGAAAAAAACCAAACAACACCACAGTTGTTTCATTGCGAGAAAACCGCGGAGAAAGGCATTAGACAAAATCAATTCTATAGATCAAACGAAGAACACTTCATCTAATGTGACCGGTAACAGAGCCCGCAGAGAAAAGGGTCACGCGAAGTAATTCCATTCAGGGGATATGAGAGACGCGAGTAGCTCAGAGCAGAGAACAATACAAAGAAACAAACAGCAGAGAGGTGCACAGGTCAGAGAAGACAGCGTTTACTGTAGACACAGTGTAGACCGGACGTGGTGATGGCGAGAAAACCATGAGCGATGACGACCCAGGAGGACACACGGGCACCGGCGTCGGGGCGTCAAATTTTTGGATTTATTTCCATGAGGCACAGCGCCCAGCACAGTTCACGACAGCAACATGTTGCGAGTATCAGAAAAGAGCCGTGGGAAACAGGTGCATGCAATTCAGCCCCGACGGAAAAGAAATCGCAGTAGAATGACGCTTAACAGTAGAATAGTCCAGGAACACAAAGGACCTCTGTCAAAGACAGCATCATTCTTTTTTTTTTCGAAAACGGGTCGTAACATGGCAATCTGGGAAAAGTGTGCCCAGCATTACAGAAAGTGGGCCCGCGAACACCGTCAGGAAGCAACCCCAATTAAGAATCTCACTTCGCTCTTTTGGTCTCTCACTCTACGCTTTCTTTGTTAGTGTATGGCTGGCGCTTTATGTATCACCGTTTTAGCTCTTCGCGTCTTCTGTCTTTCTAAGTGTTTGTGGAAATCAGAATAGTAAACAGCAATGGTCACAAACAGTCAGGAAGCAACCCCAATGAAGAACGAATGCAATAGACAAATATTCATTTCAATTTTATTGCATTTCCGCGATACTTCTATACATTATGAGATCCTTTATGTCTTGAAAACTCTCACCTTGAAATGAGAAAAACGTTCCAGCCATTGGATTAACAACAGGTTGACTTATGTTGACCGGTCACACCGCCCTCAGCTCTCTCTCTCTCTCTCTCTCTCTCTCTCTCTCTCTCTCTCTCTCTCTCTCTCTCTCTCTCTCTCTC